TTTTTTTTTTTGTTTTGTTTTTTATATGTAGGATATATCACTCTCTGGATGTAGTAGGTGATAATTAAGCATATGAGATAAAATTTTTGTAAGCATGACATACTGGGACATCACCTTCAATATTGTATGGCAGTGACATTGAAAGCTAGCTATCATCACTCAGTACCTGTTCTTTTATTTTTTTTCCAGCCCTTTGTGTAGCACATGGTTGCTTAGAATAAGAAGTGCCTATCCCAATCTCCTTTGCAGCTAGGTATGACCAGAATAATATAAATACACAATATACAAAGCCTTGCATTTCACAGAGGACTAATATGTTGGCTTTCTGGTAGAATCTATAATTTACAATTCCTAATTTGATATTGTTGCTGTTCTTTTTTCCCCCAGTCTTCTGGGTTCCTAAATAAACTTGGGGCTCATGTATGGGTAGGTGAAAGGGGAACAAGTGTCAATGCATTGAACCAGAAAAGTATCTGAAATGATCAGAAAACAACATGGAAGTCAGTGTGATTGGAGCAGAATAAGGTAGGAGAGAGTGACATGAAACTGAGACTCAAAAACTCAACAGGCCCTTTAAGACTGTTGTTGAGAACTAATGTATTTCATCCTGAGATAAAAAGCTACTACTGGAGATCTCCAAGTAAAGGAATGTTAAGTGTATAATTCAGGAATATTAAGTATACGCACATCATTGTTTAACCAATCTCTAGAACATTTTCATCCTGCAAAATCAAACCTTTCTATTCCCCTCCCCTGCCCCTCTTCTCCCAGCTCACTATTATACCTTCCATTTCTGTTAGTATCTCATATAAGTGGACTTGCATAGCTGAAAGAAAATAATACGTACTCTTCCATGTAAAATTTACTCTGATATATTAAATTTTATTCGGTTCATTGTATTTTATTTTAAGAAGAATTAGAAACTATTTATTGACCTACAAATGGATATCCTGTTATAAAAAATACTGTTTAGTCTTTGGGAGCAACCAGTTCAGTGCGGTATTTAAGATGATCAACCCTGGATGCAGACTGCCAGTCCTTGAATTTGAGCTTCTTCACTTCCAAACTGTGTGTCCTTCTGCAAGTTATTTAAACTTGCTCTGCATCCCGTTCCTTATCTGAAAGCAGACATAATAACTGTACTTACTCAGAGAGTTTTAATTCACACATGAAATCATTTAGAAGAGTATTTGTTACATCGTAAAAGCACATGTAATGGTTATTTTCCCATTATTTTTATTAATAAGGAACATTGTGCTTTACTTTTAGAAAAGAGTTCAGAAACTTAAATGCTGGTAGAGGAAATACAATGATCATAAAACATGAGAAGTGTAATGTGTACATGATAATAAGATCCTGGTATTGTGACCTTAATTACACTGCATTCTAAAATACTGGGCTAAGCCAAACAACACGGCAAAACAAAATATGTCTAGGAGTCATTATTACCAGCAGATACCAATTGATTATTCTTGGTGTGAACCATAATCATTACTTTAGGGCAGCAAATAAACCAAGCTAACAAATGTAGTGCTGAGCCTTGGATATCAGAATTTTAAATCCCATTAATTAAACACTTATGACATGCCCACGTTAAAATTAATATTATTGTTTGAAATCTCATGATTAAAATGCAAAACAAATCAGCAATGGCGGGTGTATAACTATATATGTAATAAAAACCTCCACACACATACATATCCACAGTGTGCGCGTGCGCGCGCATGCGCGCGCGCACACACACACACACACACACACACACGTAGTTGAACATCTGTAATCATCCTTCCATATCTTTGGGTTCCACATCCATGGATTCAACAAATCACAGATCAAAAAAAATTTTTTTTTGAGACACAGTCTTGCTTTGTCACCAGGTGCCAGGCTGGAGCACTGTCGTGATCTTGGCTCACTGCAACCTCTACCTCCCGGGTTCAAGCAATTCTCCTGTCTCAGCCTCCCGAGTAGCTGGGACAACAGGTGTACACCACCACACCCAGCTAATTTTTGTATTTTTAGTAGAGACAGGGTTTCATCATGTTGGTCAGGATGGTCTCGATCTCTTGACTTCGTGATCTGCCCACCTCAGCCTCCCAAAGTGCTGGGATTACAGGCCTGAGCCACTGCACCCGGCCGATCAAAAAAAAAATTTTTTTTTTAATGAATGGTTGGAATGGTTGCATCTATAATACCACGTACAGATTTTTTCTTGTCATTATTTCCTAAATAATACAGTATAACAACTATTTACATCACATTTAAATTATATTAGGTATTATAAGTAATCTAGAGATAATTTAAAGTATACAGAAGGATGTGCGTAGGATGTATGCAAATACTATGCCATTTTCTATAAGGGACTTGAGCATCCACAGATTTTGGTATCCAGGGAGCTCCTGAAACCAATGTCCTGTGAATACCAAGAGATGATTTGGTATTGTTTTATATATATGTATGTATATATGAGATATGTTTTTACATACATGCATATAAAACATCATATATATACCCACACATATATAAAACAATCTTTGCAGTTGCATTAATTTATAAAATGATCAACAGTGCTCCTTTTCTTAGAAAAATTGAGAATAACCTACTGTTTCCCAATTTAAAAAAAGATTAGTACTTGATAAGAATTCTTAATATCTAATTAACTGATACAGTTTAGGTATAAAATTTTTATCTTGTCACACTGTTTTGTACTCAAGAGATAGCTGATGCATTAGAAGCTTTCCAAAACAGTGTTAATGAATAGGCAATTCTATTAAAATTCTTTGACCTTCAATTTGGCAGACAAACTTACAAACACTTTCAGAATTAATTTAGTAACAAAATGATTTTAACTTGTTTCATTGTAACTGTCATTCAATTTCTATTTGCTTAAAGTGTCTTGCATTTTATAATGACTCTTTTCTGTTCCGTATGCAAAAGATATAGCTATTTTAACAATAATAAACACTAATTTTATAACATTTTATATTATTTCAGCAACTTTGATATTTTATTTGGCATAAGGCAGAGGCTAGTACATAGTATTGAAAAGAAAAGTAACGAGAGTTGTGATTACCTTTCCTTATGCCAACTTGTTTAAACTATAGTCCCCCGTCATTTATTCAAACATTAATCTATTCAATGAGGTAAAGGTATTTTTTTGAGGAGATGAAAGTACATAATTCACTTTACCTAAGGGAGATTATCCCAGATAAGCAATTCTAGATAATCTGAGTGGTTCTAGATAATTTGATTAGTTGAAAGGCTTTCAGAACACAGCCTTGGCTTCCTGATGAAGTTATTCTCACCATGAATGGTAACAGGTTAAGATTGCCATCCTGTTCTTCCTAATAGGTTGCTTTATATGTTTCAGACCTGCCTACCCAGCCTGAATAATAACATGAATCAATTCCTTGAAATAAATCCCTTAACATATATATCTCTTGGTTCTTCATCCCTGGTTGTACCTTAACTAACAAAGGGTTAGTTGTTAATTGCCTTATCAGATATGAAGGCATATTTTGAAGTTAAAATTATCAAACTGTTGTGATACCAGTATACAGATCAATAAATGGATCAATGGACGATGGTAAATTATATATATGTGTCATAAAAAGTGGAGTTCTAACTCAGTGGAACTTGTAAGGAAATATAACAAAATTCTGACAATTTTCTATAGGTTGACAGTATTAAAAGAAGCTGTAAAATAATTTACTTGTATAAAAACAAGAGAAAAAAATAATGGCAATAGGGAAAAAAATCTCAATTTTATTATTAAAACTTTAGTATTAGAAAACTTTATTCACAGAAATTCGTATAGAAAACCAACTGTGAATAATAAAGTTCATCTGTGTTTTTCTACTGTCAAAACCCACCACCTCCCAGGTGGGCCCTGAGGAGACAGTGGGTGATGAAATCTAATCTTCATCAAGGATGTTGGACAGTCAATAAAAAGCAGCTGTAGATTAATAAAGCTGTGTTGCCTATCTTCTACATCTTCACTTTAATTATTACATATATACAGTTTGCCTTTATAAAAATATAGACAAATGTTTTTTCCTATATTTTTCTTGATGAAAAGTATTGAGGTATTCAACTTCTTTCTTTTCCATCATTCTTTCACTTTAAGATGTATACTCATCTTGTATTGAGCTCATATCTCTGACCTCTTTCAATTAATAACAAACCTTCCACTTCTTTTAGTTTATTAAATCTAACTATTTTAATCTTTTCTTGACAGCGATTTTATAAACAATGATTGTTTATTGGAGAAAATAATATCTGGACTAGAAGAAGTGCCAGTGAGATTAATCTTACAAACTATCAAGTCAGTTACCTAACTTGCTAAGTGCTGCCCAAATATTAGTGATTTAATAGTACAGAAATATTGTGTTGTCCATGTTTATAAACAATTATTCCAAATAATTATGTCACTTGTTTTCATTTGAATAATACATAGTTCAGACAGTTAAGTTAATGATTAAACTCATGGAAGTTGACAATTAATAATGAGCAGTGTGATAATGTAAGATTAATTTTTCAAATATTTTAGGCCAGGCGCGGTGGCTCACGCCTGTAATCCCAGCACTTTGGGAGGCCGAGGCGGGTGAATCACGAGGTCAAGAGATCGAGACCATCCTGGTCAACAATGGTGAAACCCGGTCTCTACTAAAAATACAAAATAATCAGCTGGGCATGGTGGCGCATGCCTGGAATCCCAGCTACTCAGGAGGCTGAGGCAGGAGAATTGCCTGAACCCAGGAGGCGGAGGTTGCAGTGAGCCGAGATCGTGCCATTGCACTCCAGCCTGGGTAACAAGAGGCAAACTCCGTCTCAAAAAGAAAAAAAAAAATTAAAAATTAAAGTTTCTATTAAATATTTACAAATTATACATCAACTGTCTTAAGATGGCCAACTCAATGCAGCTGGGAAGTGCTCCTCCCATGGAGAGAGGCTGCGATTTTGACTAAATTAACATAATTTGAGCAGATCTTTGTAAAAAAAGATGCCGAATGTTGATATAGAAAAGATGCAAACACTGAAGCTGAAGAGGGAGGAAGCTGGAAACTCCGTGTGGGGTAACTGAATGCTAGGGCTGGTTCTTGGCCTCAAAGTGTGTCTGAGGAAGGGGTAAGTGAAGGGACTTGGAGACTGGGGACCTCACACCTGCCACAGACATTTGAGCTGATAGGTGGCTGTCCCCAGAGATTAGATAGAGGCAGAGCTGCCACAAGCATGGCCCCAGGAAATTTTGTGCTAAGGACAGCTTTGGTAGAGCCTAACCCACCAAGGGCTGCCTATCTCCCTTTGACAGGCTCTGGTCCTAGCTAACTATTGGAAAGAAAGCAGGGCCACCTTTCCTGTGGGACTACATTTGTCCAACAGGCCACCTGCCTGACAGTCACTCTCAGGACTCCTGCCTGACCACCCTGTAGAAGGCTGTACACACATAGCTCCATTGCCCATCCTTAGTACTTCATATCACCTAAGTGCATTCCAGAAACCTGGGAGCCCTTCAGATCCTATAGTGCACCTGGGACCCAGTCCCAAGAGTCTAAAGGAGAAATCTGCAAGCATGTCCTGGCACCCCAGGGCTGTGGACCATGGCTCAGGATTGCATATGGAGGATCTGTGCCCTGCACTCAAGTCAGGGAGAAGGCCACACTCTTCAAAAACTGAGAAAGGTGAATTGCACAGGTCCACATATTGACCTAAGACCTAGATGTGCCTCCTTCAACAGCACAGGTCCAGTAAAGATGGGGCCTATTTCCCTACTGGGCCTCTGTCCAAGGGACCTGAGGCTGAAACATCAATAGAAATAGAGAAATGCTTTGATGAAATGCTACCAAGAATAAACAACATACAGAGGAATATAAGTGAATTGATGGAGCTGAAAAACACAACACGAGAACTTCAAGAAGCATGCACAAGTTTCAACAGTGGAATTGAC